GCAGGGCTGGAGAGAGAAGTGTGCTGGGAAGCCTTTGCAGCAGGGCTGGAGAGAGAAGTGTGCTGGGAAGCCTTTGCAGCAGGGCTGGGCAGCCGAGCCAGCCCGGCCCCGCTCTGCCGCTGCCCATGGCCAGGAGCACACCACCAATGGCGTTTTTGGGTCACTTCCCCAGTAATGGATCTGGACAGTCCCGTGAAGAGATCAGACAACCTCCATGAGCACTTTCTGTCTCCATGTGGCTGCAGGGGGGCAGAGGAAAAGGAGAAGGAAGAAAATGGGACGGGATAAATCCTTACACAGAGTTGTTCATGGCATCAGGGAATCCCAGGCTGGTTTGGATTGGAGAGACCCCAAATCCCACCCATTCCCAGCCCAGCCATGGCAGGGCCACCTCCCACTGTCCCAGGAGCTCCCAATGTCCAGCCTGGCCTTGGGCACTGCCAGGGATCCAGGGGCAGCCCCAGCTGCTCTGGCAATTCCATCCCAGCCCCTGCCCACCCTGCCAGGGAACAATTCCTGCCCAAGATCCCAAGATCCAGCCCTGCCCTCTGCCTCTGGCAGCCATTCCCTGGCTCCTGGCCCTGCAGCCCTTGGCCCCAGTCCCTCTGCAGCTCTCCTGGAGCCCCTTCAGGCCCTGCAAGGGGTGTTGACCAAAGGGTGGCTGCAGCAGTGGACAGGAGGGTCCCAAAACCGAGCTGTGGGGACAATAAACCTAGCAGCCACAGAGGAACTCGGATTCACTTCCTCTCCCCTGGGTTCATGGTGGGATTTCAGCTCTCTGTGCTCCCTCCCCCTGGAACAGCTCTGAATCCCTTGGGATCTCTGCAGGGCATCTCTTGGAGGCAGCTGCTCACCTTTGCCGAGTCACCCGCACGGCTGGAAATCCAGAGCTGGATGTGCCTGAACTCCCCTCATCTGGGGTTTTATCCTCTGCTGGAGCCCACAGTTCCAGCACCAGAGCCACTTCCCGGGCTGGCTCAGCAAGGGAGGGAATTCTGGACACGCTGCAGGTTTCTCTTTTTAACCAAGACCTCCAGGACAATCAGCATTATCCAGGGTGACTTTTATTGGGAATGATCACTTCGGGAGATCTAGAGACCAAAACTAAATAACTACCAGGGCCAAAAATCTTAAGGAGATCTCCAGTTTCTAATAAAGACATTGTACTGCATCAAATATTCAACCAAATGGGTAAAATCCTTCCCACAAAATGAAATGTTTTATTCAAAGAAACAGCAAAATCAGGTCCAAAATGACAAGAGAAGGAATTTTGAAGCAGGCCTGACATCTTGTGTCACCAAACACCAGCGGTGCCAGCCTGGTGTTTTCATCTGGAATCAAAGCACATTTGGCTTCTTTTGGGCCCCAAATCATTAAATTCCAAATGAGTGCTTGGAGTGCACGGGCACATCCAGGGTGAGCAGCAAAGTGCAGGTCTGGTGGAGAGGGACTCTAAAACCACAGCTCAGCTCTGCCACCAGATTTAGGCTTTGCTTGGCAGTGCCCCAGCACAGCACGACAGGATTTAATTGTTCTTGCAAAGAGGAGGATTGAAGCAGTGCTTTTAGAACAAAATTCCCTTCCAAGTGGTGGATCTTCAGGAATAACCAATGTGTCCCATACAGGCAGCTGTGGGGGGAGAGTTCTGATCCCAGACCTGTCAGAACAGCTTGGGAATTCAGCAGAATTCAGCGGAATGATGAGGTTGGGATCATCCTGTGAGCTCCAGCCAGGACAGGAGGGGAGCAGCCGGGGGCTGGGGGCTCCTGGGGCACCTCCAGGAGACACAGCCAGCCAGCCTGGCCTCAAACCCACCATGGCTGGGGCTTGCAGCAGGTCCAGGGAGCAGCATCACTGCCCACAGCAGGAATTCCTTAACCATTCCAGGGTTTTACAGAGCACACCAACCCCGTGGAACCCTCCAGGCTGGGGCAGAGGGGCTGAAACTGCCCTGGGGGTGCTGGTGGCAGTGGCTGGAGGTGAACCCAGGTGGGCAAGAGCCTGATGGTCCCATGGGTGTCCCAGGGCAGGGATTGTCCCCTGTTGCTGGGCACTGTGGACACCTCCAGGGCTGGGTCCAGTTGTGGCTCGTGCAGGAGAGCCCTGGAGGGGCTGGAGCGTGTCCAGGGCAGGGAACGGAGCTGGGAAGGGGCTGGAGCCCCAGGAGGGGCTGAGGGAGCTGGGAAAGGGGCTGAGCCTGGAGCAAAGGAGGCTCAGGGGGCCCTTGTGGCTCTGCACAAGTCCCTGGCAGGAGGGGACAGCCGGGGGGATCGGGCTCTGCTGCCAGGGAACAGGGACAGGAGGAGAGCTCAGGCCTCAGGCTGGGCCAGGGGAGGCTCAGGGTGGGCAGCAGCAGGAATTTGCCCATGGAAAGGGAGCTCAGGCCTTGGCAGGGGCTGCCCAGGGAGCTTTGCAGTGCCCATCCCTGCAGGTGCCCAAGGAAGGGCTGGACGTGGCACTCAGGGCTCTGGGCTGGGGACAAGGTGGGCATCGGGACTTCAGAGATTGCTGACACTTCCTTTATTCCAAATTAGATCCAAACATAGTGGAGCCTGTCAGTTCCTTCTCCCTGGGTACAAGAATTGGAAAAACAATATCAGGCTGATAATTTCCTGAGAGGATTTGAGGCAGAGCCCTTGAAGCTCGTGATGTGGAGCTGGGAGCAGGACAGGGCTCGAGGCCATCTGCCCTGGCTGCTCCTGACATCTGCTGTCCTCTCTGGCCACTCTGGGATCAGGACAAGGACTGTTCATTGCTGGATTTGATTGTTTTGAAATCATTGAAAATGATTGTTCATTTTCAGCTGTGCCAGCCTGGCCGGGGTCAGTGCGGGGCCCATTCCCAGCGAAACCCGAACGCCTGACCCAGGCAAAGTTCAGAGCAGAGACCAGAGACCAGGCCTGACCTCGGCCCGGCCTGGCCTGCAGGACCAGGATGGAATTACCTCTTGGAATAATGCTCCCAGCTTCCCCAGGGGCCGTCCTGCAGCAGCTGGTGCCGGAGGATCGGCGGGAGAGCGGATTCCCACGCAGAGAGCTGGGAATGCAATGAGGGCTCTCCTCAGCTCAGGGCCCACGTCCAGCGCGGCACAGAGGGGTTTTGGGGCAAGGTGTGACATGGACAGGACTCATGGTGTGTCCAGCTTCAGGGGACACCCATGAGTCTGGGTGAGGGACACACAGCCCAGCCCCACTGCCCCAGAACAAACAGGAGCTGCCCAGATGGGAACCACACTGGGGCTGGTCAAAAACCAACAGGGAGGACAGGCCTGCAAGTGTCCCTTTGGAATGGCAGCACCTCGGGACACGTTCTGGCCTCCTCCCCAAGGGTGGCTGAGGGGATGGTGGCAGAAGAGATCCCTCCCAGCTCAGGAGATTCTGATTCCCTGAGGGCACGAGGAAAGGAAGAGGTGGGAGGCACCCAAGAGCCTTCCTTGTGGAAGGAGAGAGTGAAGTTCCCCGTGGGAATGACCAGGGGCACCGTCGGATCAAGGGCTCAAGGAACAATGAATGGAAGGACAAGAGCAGAGACTGGCTGTGTGTCCAACCCTAGGGACAAAAGGGA